TTTATATAGTGAGTTTCATTTCAGGACAGCCAAAGCTAAACCAGACCAAAACAAAAAACTTGTGTGTAGTGTGATGTAACACCACAGAGATAACAGTGGCTTCTTCCTCCCAAATCTAAGAGGTGACCATTTCATATTAGGACTCTTCTTCCAAAACACCAAGCCATAAAAGTTTATTTTAGAGAAAAATGTACACTGTAAAGCTAGTTTTTCATCTTAAATTGCTTTTTAACATGTACATTCTAAGCAGGATGACTTGATTTTAAAGATGTTTTCACTTAATCTCTCAGAAGGAACAAACTTAGGAAACTTAAAAAAAAAAGATGTAGAGTGCTTTTTATGTTGAACTTCTGACTCTTATTATTAGTATTATTATTAGTAGTATTATCTTACTATTAGTAGTAGTATTAGTAGTAGTCCAGAACTACTTCAATGCCACTATTAAAACTGAAGATGATAAATATGTAATATTCATCCTGGTTTGTTACATATATATGATGTAAGAGCTCCAGACCCTGACTGTAGGGCTTAGTATTAAAAAGGAAACAAAGGGCTGGTGGAGGTGGCACACACTTAATTTCAGCACTCAAGGCTGAGTCAGGAGGATTACAAGTTGGAGGCCAGCCAGGACTACATATCTAGACCTAGTCTCTTTAAATATAAGGGGAGGGGCTCAAGTTATCTAGACTGCCAACTTACACATCAACATTACAGCTGCGTGCTTTAAATGTTATGAAAGACAAGACTTAAATGAAGAGTCAAGGTTCTAAGAGCAATGCATTTGAAAACACCATTTAAATGACATTGTACATACATATAAACTGATTGTGAAAGCTAGTCATTTAAATTCTATAATACAATTTAAGGCATGTTATAACTCATCATCTCTATAGGATAGGAGATATCCTATAGGATATGTTTTTCATTGTTTATGTTTTTTTTTAAATAATCATCCTGTGACTTGGGTGACATAGCTTTATACTCCAAGCAAGGGCCATGTTATTTTCAGTACCATGGATATGACTGTATCATGCATCAGATAGTCATGATTTAGTTACTATCTTTGGCTCCTTGATTTGAAAGCTCCTGGTTTCAATATATTTTAACAAATATGCCTCTGCCTCTTTTTACTATTTACTCTTATAATATGCTAGGTGCATCCTTAAGAATCCAGTCGGCGAGGAGGCTCTTGCAGCTGTACAAGGCTGACTACTTCCACAGTTTTTGATTTTCCTTTGAAGCAGTTTGATTTTCAACATTCTTAACATTCTAGATGCCACTTTACTGTTTAAACTAAGAATTTTGCCATGTTAGTGGTTTGAATGAGGACAGCCCCCATAGGCTCATATATTTGAATGTTTAGTCACTAGAGAATAGAACTGGTTTGAGGAGGACTACAAGGATTAGGAGGTGTGGTCTCTTGAAGGAAGTACATTACTAGGAGTGGACTTTGAGGTTTCAAAAGACCATACAAGGCCCAGTGTCTGTCTCTGTCTCTCATGCCTGTAGGTCAGGATGTAACTCACAGCTACCTCTCCAGCACCATCCTGTCTACCTGCCATCATGCAAATAGTCTCAACTCTGAAATTACAAGCAAGCCCCCAACTAAACACTTTCTTTTATATGAGTTGCCTTTGTCATGACATCTCTTTACAGCAATAGAACAGTGTACTAACACATCATAAAACTTAACAAAGATTTTGGCAGTCTTATAAGCCCAGTACTAGTTTGTTAGGAGAGACTGAAAAATATATATTTTTTGAGATTGTATGTTTATTTTATGTGTATGAATGTTTTCCTTAATGTTATATTTGTGCCTGCAATGCCTGCGGGGGCTAAAAGATGGCACTGATTCCTCTGGGAATGTAGTTACAGGTGGCTATGAGCAGTCATACGGATGCTGAGAATTGAACCTTGGTCCTTGGGGAAGAACAACCAGTGTTCTTGACTGCTGAGCTATCTTTCCAGATCTAAGAATTTAATTTTGTGTACTTTAAAGAGAAATATGATGGTTAAACAACTACGGTTTTTAGTTAAGATGCTAGTCTTTGATTTACATTAAATTTGTTATTTTAAACAAAAGAAAATCTTGTCTGCTTCCTTGGAATTGCTTTTAGAATATTTAGATTAAATCTTGACAAAAAAACCATAAATAAATGTTTAAAGTTGATAATCTTTAAAGTTGGTCAAATGTCTGTGTCCTCTAAAATTTCCTGGATGCTTCAAAATTAGTTTGTTAAAGGGTTGTTAAAAATATGGAATTGAAGCTGGGCAGTGGTGGCACACGCCTTTAATCCCAGCACTTGGGCAGTAGAGGCAGGCAGATTTCTGAGTTCGAGGCCAGCCTGGTCTACAGAGTGAGTTCCAGGACACCCTGGGCTACACAGAGAAACCCTGTCTCAAAAAACCCAAAAAATAAATAAATAAATAAAATAAAAAAATAAAAATAAAAAAATATATGGAATCAAGAAAGAGGGTAACAATGATTAGAACCAGACTCTATAAGCACCCCTGTTTTGTGTTTCTTGTAAGTCATCCACATCTTCAAATACAGACTAAAAAATCAATTAGCTCTTTCATTAAATTTTATACAACCAAATATCACAAAACAAAGTGTATATATCTAAAACGAGGCATCTCTAGGCCTTCTAAAATCTTGACACTTTTTTTTTTTTGCATAGGGTTCTATCCCAGTGTTAAGAATGTTAATGAGACCTTCTATGCCAGAGCTGTCCCTACTCCCAGCCCTGTTTCCTAAAATTAGTACAGAGGACTTAATTTGTCTGAGTTACCAACTGCTAGGTATCAAAACCACACGGGAATGCCTCCTGGAATTGTTTCAAAGTCACCAATTATATTTCAAATGTCTAAGGATGGAAAAATGATTTTACGTAGTTTAGGCCACACTGATCTAGCTGATCATTCTTTTAAGGTCTCTCACCTTTTCAGGTGGATTTCTCCTAAGCCACAGATGGCTAATTGTGATAAAATGCTTAAAAACATTTTTTGGAGATAAGGTTTCACTCTGTAGCACTATCTGGCCTGAGCTCTTTATGTACATCTGACTGGCCTGAACTCAAGAAATCTGTCTGCCTCTGCTTGAGGAGTGCTAGGATAAGAGGCATTTGCCACTATGAGTGCCTTAACACTGTCTTTAAATTGATTATTGAGCTCTAATATGTAAAGATGCCTTGTTAGAAAATCCACACCTCCAACCCAGTAAAGACCTGGTTACTGTTTTAAAACTGACATGTTATTCTAGCACTTGAGTTACTTGATGTTTGTAGCTTTTTAGAATTTAAAAATTCTGTGCACTGCTAAAGAATTGTTTTCTGGGATGGAATCTCAGTGTAATCCGGCTTGGGCATTGTAAAGTTCAGAATCCTTTCGTCTCCACTCCTGGGTGCTTGCACCCTATCTTGCTGCATGAGTTTCTTTTTTTTTCTTTCCTTCCTTCCTTCCTTCCTTCCTTCCTTCCTTCCTTCCTTCCTTCCTTCCTTCCTTCCTTCCCTCCCTCCCTCCCTCCCTCCCTCCCTCCCTCCCCTTTTTCCTTTTTGTATCATTTAACAGTCTTTGTATAGTTGGTTATTAAGGATTTCTTTTTTCAGAGAGTGATGGCTTGAGGCAGAGTTTCTCTGTATTGCCCTAGCTGTCCTGGAACTTGCTCTGTAAACCAGACTAGCCTCAAACTCAGAAATCTGCCTGCCTCAGCCTCCTGAGTTCTGGGACTAAAGGTGTGTCCACCACACCTGGTTTAATGGTTTAATGGTTGGTTTCTTAAAGGAAGAATTTTTTTTGTACTTTAAGAATTAAACCATAGTAACTTATATTTTTAGACCCTATCCGTTTTTAAGTAGTATGATGGGTAGTAACATTGCTTCGGCTATGTATTCTTTAAAACTGCACCTTTTGCTTTGAAAACTCCTGGATCTAGCATTACCTATTTCAACGCATATTAAAGATGAGTTGAATCATACTGTCTATACAATACTACTAAAGAGAATACATTTTCTTTCTTTTAAATAGCATAGGTTTTTGTTTTAAACACTCACATCAAACTGGTAAAGTATACAGATTATCTTTGTATGTACTAAACTTATTAAATGAGTTATTATATAATTGTTTTTTTCTCTGACTAAAACATTAAGCTACTTGAAAGTGACTTAACAGCAGAATGAAAAACCTGAGGCTCTGCTGAACATTCAGGTACATGGAGAGATGTTTCTTCTACTTCCAACAGGTCCTGAGGAACAGCTCCTTACTGAGTGTAAGTGATAACCAGGAAGCAGCTCTAAAATCTCTGTGTGGTTATATCTTACCTTTACAACCATGATTTTTTTTTCTGAAATGGACCTATGTATATATTTACCATACAAATTGAAAGTAATTGATATCTACTTAAAATGTATTTCTTCATTTATTGGATCTAATGGTTTCACTGTAATAAAATATATAGACATTTAAAATGTTGGAACTATATGGTTTTCTTAATAAAAAGGGATGATATCTACCCCCCAAATCTGAATAAAAATTCATGCAAATGATCACCCTACCCTCCTACATTCTCCTTTCAGTGCAGACTACATTGTAGGAACAAAATCTCTATTAGAGAACTCATTTGAGAAATGACTATCCCTAAAGATAGTATACTCTCGGTCTTTAGCTACTTAAGAAAAAGTCAGTATTGTGTTTAATATAAATATTTAGCTTTGGGAAAACAAAGAACCTCCGAAAACTGCAACTGAAGTTGATCTTCAGTGAACAGCATTAGGAACACAAGGGCCCATGCATTTTGTCTTGCTTCTGTCCCTTGAAAACTGAAATATCACTCCAGCCTTCCCCATGGTTAAATAAAACAGTTCTAAGGCTCAGGACATAACTGAATGGTGTGAACAAGTCTGGTGATAAACCACAGACCAGGTCCTTAATATGGCTAAAGTTCACTGTGCCTTTCCCCATTTAAGAAGCACCAACCCTGGAGCCAAGTTTTCAAAAGGCAATTTAACAGCAGGAACTATAATTTAATCACATCATATCATATTACACTATGCAACATTATGTATTTTACCTTCTGATGTAACACAGTTAAGTCATTACAAGCATTATTTCCTAAGACTTGGTACAGGTACTCCTTTCAAGGAGTCACTGCTTATTTAATAGTGTCTATCTACATTGGAACATTCAATCAGTGATAGGTAATATAATGCACTGCACTGTGCAACGTCTCCCTACCCCAGATTAAGGTATTAGCAACAAAAATCAATTAAGAAAACCAACACAACTCTAAAAACTGAACCAAGGCTGTCAGCATCACAGCTGCACAGCTGAGCAGGTCAACAGTGCTTTCCCGTGGGCTCAGCATCAGTGTAGCAGCAGCTGCTCTTTTGGACAAGTAGATCAACAAGTGTCAAGTGAAAAGTTACTCTGAGAAAACATAAATCCATGCTACCAACAAAAGCAGCAAATGCTGGTGTTATCCAAATGTCAAACTGCACTGTCCCTCTCTGAGTGTCAGATTGTTTATGTGATGACAAGACTGGATTCCTTGTGGCGCGGCAGTGAGATGGTCTAGGATGTCAGAACCTCCCGTTTGTTTTAATATTTAAGTGATAGCATTAGGGAAACTAGGAAAGGGTCAGTGCTGGTGGTTCTAAACCACATCATCTTCAGTTTGTTTTCACAATAATAATGCAGTTAACCCCCTGCCTCTGCAACAAAAGAGCAATGCAGTATCCCCCTCCTGCATAGAGGAGCTGAGGGCTATGCAAGTAAAGCTGTGCCTACAGTGGGTGGCTGCTGAGTACACAGCAGTCCTGCATACTGACACAAAGTATGTAAGGAGAGCTCACACTGATTTGTACATCTATATTCAGCTAAAGCGTCACAGCAGCAATGGACAGCAATAGTGCACTCAATATAGACACTTTTCAAAACTACTCCAAAAAACAAATGACAAAAGTAGTTAAGAACAACTGAACATATGTTGTGTGTACCGGGCATAAAGGATGAATGGGCCCTGTTGTTAACCCACTGCTTGAATTACATGACACTTAGTCCACTTCCATCTCTCCCGAGTCAGTGTGCTGCGAGCTTCCTTTGGGTGGATCTGGGTTGGTTTCGGAACCACTCTGTCCATCCATTGGTCCATTGTGCTCACTACTAGTCTTTGCTTTGTCTTCAGGAGCTTCTACTTTTGGTTTGGGCTTATAAACGATGGGGTTACAGAAATTATCCAGTTCCTAAAAACAAGAACGAGCCATGTCAAATATTACACAAAACACTTAGATATTTGTTGATGTTCTCTAATCTGTCTTCCATCCTCATACATTTAAATACTTAATATTTAACAATTATTACTGGACCTTTTGTTTATTTTAGTTTCTCAAGACAAGGTTTCTTTGTGTAACTCTGGCTTAGAGGTCTAGAACTCAGAGATTCACCTGCCTCTGCCACCAGAGGGCTGGGATTAAAGGTGTGAGCCACCAACCACCCACCCGGCTACTGTACTTATTTTTAAAAAATTATTTTAAATTTCTTTTTTATTTCATGTGCATTTGTGTTTTGCCTGTATGCATGTCTGTGTGAGGATGTCACAGCCTCTGGAACTGGAGTGACATACAGCTGTGAGCTACCATGTGGATGCTGGGAACTGAACTTTGGTCCAAGATCACCTATAGTTTGTTAACAATAAATTATGTCCTTATTTCCTTTCAAGTAAGAGCTGTGTTTTAATGCCTATAAATGTGATTTTATTACGATTCTGTAATTCTTTTTATACAATATGTTGTAATGTCTTTATAACTAAAACATATTTGATAGCTATATCACATATATAGTAGCAATTCCTTGAATTTATGTAGTGATCTCTAGAATTGTGAGTTTTGGCTAACAGGTATACACTCACTTCAAATTTTTACATATATGTGTATATATGCTCTGACAGGATGTTCCAGGAAAGTTATACAAGTATAAATTGGTCAGGGGAGAGTACTCACTGTTCCATATCCTTGTAACTATGGCAGAGATTATGAACACTAGCACAGCAAATGATACCGACAAAGCCACCTGTATCCTTGGTGACTGGGTACACATCTCTGTCAGCCTCTAGCTCAGAGTCTTCACTTATTACCATTTGCATAGTTTTTCTGCCATGCTTTTTACAGCTTTTGAATTTTTTTTTTTTTTGGTTTTTCGAGACAGGATTTCTCTGTGTAGCTCTGTCCTGGAACTCACTCTGTAGACCAGGCTGGCCTCGAACTCAGAAATCCGCCTGCCTCTGCCTCCCAAGTGCTGGGATTAAAGGCGTGCGCCACCACCGCCCGGTAGCTTTTGACATCTTTATTATCAATGTTTATTAAAATTCAACATTTATCTGAGATTACATAAAATTACACACAGGACTTTACAGTGGAAGATTTCACATTCCAAGGACAGACCTATTGCAGCAAAGTTGTTAGACGTCTCTAGGAATCTAAGTATTTAGGTTGATGGCATTGCTGTATTTCATTCTGTATTAGCTTCAGAACTTTCACACAGGAACAGAGGCTCCATCACAACGAGAATTGAAGTCAACAACGCAGAGCCTGGCCTTAGCTGTTCTCTAAGTTGATTATTAGAATGTGATAACCATTGATCTTTTAGTCCTTAAATGGATTTTAGCGGTTAAACTTATTAAAAAGGAAGTTTTAGCCAGTAAGATGGCTCAGCAGGTAAAAGTGTCTGCTAGGTAAGCCTGGCCATCTGTGTTCTATCCTTGAAACCACCTGAAACCAAGCTGAAAATCAACCAATGCAAAGTTGTCCCCCCCCCCCTTGAGCCATGGCACCGTGCCCACACACTCACTGCGGTCCTTTCATACTCGTCATTTAGAGTACGTTTTTAAAAGGCAATTGGAGTTTCTTACCTTTGACTTTGTAACTATTTCTGACACTTTTACCACAGGATCTTGAGTAAGACTTAATTTATTCTGTGCATTCATCTTACTATTTAGCCAGTTCATGGAGTCACTGATGTATTTTTCAACTTTTTCCATTTCAGCAGGATCCAGATGATCATATCTTTCATCCTATTAAAAATTAACAAAATAGTAAAAGAAAAAGAAGAAAGCGACTTTTGGTAAGCAATGGCTTACTGATAATTTCTCTCTAAAACATTCATATTCTCATACTTCTTGTATATTCATGTAAAGGTGCCACATATGAGATGACACAAACTGAAGAGACTAGGGGAAAATATAAAGTCAGTGCAGACGTGCAAAGGACTCCCAGAAGTCAGCTTTGGAAAAGAACTACTAGTGGAGGCTCTGCATTGGGCAAGAGAGGCTAAGACAGAGTAGAATTTATACAGATTAAGGAGAGAATAGGTGCACAGGTACAGAGTGAGGGAGAAAGACAATTCTGATCATACCATAAATCTAGGTGTTACATCCTTGATAAAACATGACAATGGAATTCTGTGTAAACAACACAGCTGCAGCTTCTACATCTAGGAAAGCACCCCAAAAGTCAGTTTACATCAGCAGCCAGTAGAGCATAAAGCAGCAGCAACATAACATAAAAGCAAGAAGATTTCCTGATAAGGATTATGGATAGCCTAGAAAATACAGGATGAACAGGGAGGGAAGTGTTGAGGAAGGGGACAAGGGCAAGAGGACATCCATGACATGAAAGTACTGCAGAGGAAGGGTCCATAGATGCAGGAGGAAGCAGAAGGTGCAGAGGACCAACCCAAACAAATTTCCTTTGAAAAAGACAGAATGAGACATAATACTGCATATGCTAATTTTTTTAAAAAAACAACAAACTTCTTTTAATGTATTTTCCCTCATGTGTTTTGAGATAGGGTCTCACCTAGTCACACCTGGGTTTATTCTTATCCTCAGACTTAGTATCTTAAAGCATTGAGATTAAACCCCAAAGTTAAAAAGTGGGACTATAAAGAGATCATTTTAAAAAATATCATCACACTGTATTTTGTCCATATTAAAATCTTTGGGGTAATTTTGGACTGTTATACGTATATCTTATAAGCAAGATAAATGCAAAACTATATCATCACTTTTGGTCCTTCATTGTTTGGTTCAAGCTTTCATCATTTCTTGATTATATTATTCTATCCTACTAGTAGATGCTTCACAAACGAAGTCAAGTCATATTGCTTCTAGACTCTCAACCTGCAGGCTCCCTGTGTCTCAGTAAACCTCAGCCTCTCACAACAGCAGCCACGAGGCCTTCTGTGATCAGGCACCTGTTCCCTTCCTAGTTAGGTCACAGCAGCTTTATTGTTTCTTCAGTAGATTTCCCAAGTGCGTGTGCATGTGCGTGTGCATGTGCGTGTGCATGTGCGTGTCAGGGACAGGGTGGTGGTGCAGTAGCACATCTGAAGGTCACAGGGCAACCTACAGCAGTCATGTGTTTCCAACCATCACATGTGATCTTAGGATTAAATTTCGGTTGTCAGGCTCAGTAGCCTTGATGCATGAAGCCATTTCACTAGCCCACAGTTATGTTTTCAACAACATTTCCTTTCTACAAATTCTGAGCCCTGGCTTTCCTCTATTTTTCTCTCTCTCTCTCTCTCTCTCTCTCATTGGTTGGCCTTCTCTCAAACATAGCTCCTGGATGTCCCTTACCTTTTCAGTTGCCCATTTACCAGCACTTTATTTTCCAACTGAAGCATGTGTGAGAACAAACAGGCCCAGAATTTCTTTTTTCTCGAGTCCAGGACCCACAAAACATCCTAGCACATAATTAGAACTCACATGCCTAATCCAATAAAGTCTTAGTTTGCTTTGGATAATATCTTAAACCCACATACTCAAGATGACAACTAAAGTCAGAGGGGCACTAATCATGCCAGATTTAAAATATGCCTTGATATTTTGTCTGCCTCGTTCCTCTTTACATTTCCATATCAATATACTCTGTGAGTATGCAAGAAGATCGGGCTAGCCAAATTACAAATTTTCCTTTTCAACACACAGAATTCCTCCTTCTGAAATAAAGAATAAAGTGTGCACACAGAGGCTGTCTACACACTGATAGCAGCTGCTTCAGGACGACTCCTGACTACCATTCATTTACTATCTGTGTAATCCAACAATCTGCTTAAGGATCCAACCTCCTCCTCCTCCTCTTCCTCTTCTTCCTCCTCCTCTTTTTTTTTTTTTTTTTGAGACAGATTTCTCTGTGTAGTAAGTCCTGGGTGTCTAGGCCTCACTTTGTAGACCAGGTTGGCCTAGAACTCAGATCTGACTGCCTCTGCAGACCTCCTGAGAGCTGAGATTAAAGACATGTGCCACCATGGCCAGCCCAAGCATCCAGATTTTTCTTATATCCGAATTGAGACAACAGTATTCATAGGTCATAGGTATTAAATACCCTGGTGAGAAGAGTGTGAAACCACCCACTCACAGTGCTTAAGATTTACTAAGCACTTGGTGGACCTAAGCTTTTGGGATGATGCCATGCCTCAGTGATTCTGGTGCTGCTTTCTCATGCACATGAATGCAGTGTTAACATCAATGATCAAATCTGAGTGATAACTGAGTATCAGGTAGTGACCAGTAAACCTGACCTTATGGACAAGTTCAACAAGATGGTCTTGTTTCTCTTGAACTTTTTGGAACAGACCTGTATCTACTGGTCTGCTAAAATACAACAGAAGCAACGAAGACACAGGGGAGACTATAAGTATCAGTCATCTCTTTTAAGTCTGCTGGGCTCTGTCCAGATGCATGACTAGCCACTTACTGTTTTATCCAAAGGGACACATGACATATATTACCTGGCCTGAAGCTTCAAAACAGTGGGAAAAGCAGAGAGTTTTGGGTGTGTATGAAGAATAAAAGGAGATTATGGATGATGAGCGATAGATGGAAGCTCAACAACAAATTAGGCAAGAAGCAAAATACAGTTTGGCAGTTTAGAGTCAAGGAAGACCTTTTTCTCATATAAGAAACACAAAAATGAAAACAGTGGATTTTGCCACTGGGTTAAACTTAAGCTATGACTCTAGGGAATTCTAAAACATGAAAGTCTCAGCTTATAACTGTCCTGGAATCCTCTGAAGGTAATTCTTCACTAAAATCTGTAAGTTCAGTCTGCTCAGTCTCTGAAGTGCTAACACTGCAACACCAGAGCTGAGGACTTCTATAGTCAGCATACATCAGCGGCACGGCCATCATGACTCCAGTACCTTGTTTCTGTGTGCTTCTATCACTTTCAGGACAAGCTGAATCTTTTTCCCCAAGTCATTTAAAGCTTTTGGTCTCTCTTCATGCTCCACGTACTTCATTTGAATGGGCTGGCCATATTTCTATCAACATAAGAAACATTTAAAAACAATGAATAGTTTTAACAGAATACATTTGTCCCTTACAGGATGATAAGCAGGTGAAGTCAAACATCTTTTCTGTCTTCCCACAAAGAAAAGTGTTAATGTGGCCCTACTTTAATCCTCGTTTTGTCTAAAGCATTCACTAAGGATTAACCCGTGACTGAACCCAAAGACCCAATCAAAATTGTCACTCCTTCCTTCCTTCCTTCCTTCCTTCCTTCCTTCCTTCCTTCCTTCCTTCCT